AACCTCTCTACTGTGGTGTCTAAGGCTAATCTGGTTGGAAATCCCAAGGAATGGTAGGTTGACACTGGGGCAACTCGTCATATTTGTGCGGACAAGAAGATGTTCACTACCTACAATGAGGCTGTAAATGGTGAACAATTTTTCATGGGAAATTCTTCTACTTCTACTGTAGCTGGACAAGGGAAAGTGATCTTGAAGATGACATCAGGGAAAGAACTGACCCTCAACAACGTACTACATGTACCTGACATCCGGAAGAATTTAGTTTCTGGTTCTTTGTTAAGTAAAAATGGTTTTAGGCTTGTTTTTTAGTCTGATGAATTTGTATTAACAAAGAGTGGTATGTATGTTGGTAAGAGATACATGAGTGATGGTCTCTTTAAATTGAATGTAATGACAGTGGTACCGAAAGTTGCTATGAATAAAAATAACACATCTTTTGCTTATATTCTTGAGTCGAATTTATGGCATGGTAGATTAGGACATGTGAATTTTGATGCTTTGTGTAGATTAATTGGTTTAGATTAGATACCAAAGTTTGAAATTAATCCTAATCATAAATGTGAAGTTTGTGTAGAAGCGAAACTAACTAAGACTCCATTTAAATCGGTTGAAAGGAAAACCGAACCTCTAGAATTAATTCATACAGATGTATGTGATCTTAAATTTGTTTAAACTTGAGGAGGTAAAAAGTATTTCATAACATTTATCGATGATTGCACAAGATATTGTTATGTTTATTTACTTAGAAGTAAAGATGAAGCCTTAGAAATGTTTAAACTCTACAAAACAGAAGTTGAAAATCAATTTGGTAAAACCATTAAAACAGTTAAAAGTGATAAGGGTGGTGAATATGATGCATCATTAAATGAATTTTGTGCACAACATGGCGTTATTCACCAAACTACAGTATCCTATTCTCTTCAGCAAAATGGAGTTGCTGAAAGAAAGAATAAAACCCTAAAAGAAATGATGAATGCCATGTTACTAAGTTCAGGCTTACCACAGAACTTGTGGGGGAAAGCAATATTTTCTGCTAATTATGTTCTTAATAGAATACACCATAAGAAAACCAACAGCACTCCTTATGAATTGTGAAAAGGTCAACCACCTTCTTACAAATACTTAAAAGTGTGGGGGTGTTTGGCAAAAGTTGAAGTTCATGTTCCTAAAAAGACTAAGATTGGACAAAAAACAGTAGATTGTGTGTTTATTGGTTATGCTCAGAATAGTAGTGCATATCGGTTTCTAACTTATAAATCAAAAATACCAGATATAAATGTGAACACTATTATAGAGTCAAGGAATGCTGTATTTTTTGAACATGTCTTTCCTTACAAGAAATGATCGGAATTAAGTTCACAGAATAGAACTTATGATTGTACACAAAGTCAAGAGACTAATAACAATCAAAGACAAGAGGCTAGTAATGGTCTCGACCAACAGAATTTAACTGATGATGAACCAAGACGAAGTAAGAAAGCGAGAACATCAAAATCCTTTGGTCTAGATTTTCTGACATACCTGTTAGAAAATGAACCTCAAAGCTTTAAGGAAGCAATGACAAGTCTTAAAGCACCTTTGTGAGAAAGAGTATAAACACTTAGTGTGTTCGTTAGGCAAACAATTTGTAGTGCTGCTATTGTTTATAGTTGATCATTTCATCCTGGGAGATAGACGTCCACATTCTGAAAGCACCGTGGAGAGGACGAATCTGTCTTAAGGACATAGTGTCAAACACTGGACTTGATCAGAATAATATTCAACATATTAATCAAGTAATTTATTTATTTATTTTCTGATTTTATTATTATTTATTTAAATCAGATTTTAATTTTGTTTTGGTAACAAAATAAAATCTGTTTTTATTTATTTAATTCTTTTTCTGGTTTGATTTTTGTAATCAAACATTCATTCTCCTTTCCTATATTTATTTTATATTCTGTTTGTCGTTTAGTACTTAAACAGAATTAATTAATTTAAATACAGTGAAGATTGTCTAACAAATTATAGTTCAAAAAATAATTTTTTGCCTTTCAAAAATGGAAAGCATTTTTTGCCCAAATAAGTTTATTTTCTGTTGACTATAGAAAATGTTTTCCGTTGATTTTTATTTTCCGTTACAACAAATACCAAAAAATGTAGAAAATATTTTTTAAAAGGTGAAAAACATTTTTCAAGGAAAAAAAAGAGTATGGAAGTAATGTTGGAAATATTATAAAAAATAAAAAATAAAAAACAGCCCTTTTGGATTGGAAATGTTGGTCATTGAGAAAGGAAGTTTAGTTGTCGATTTTTTTTGTCAAGATCATGAAAAAAGTCCCTCGTCTCATGGCCAATCTTCCCAATCGCAAAGTAACTTTCAAAAGCAAATCTTTGCCAACTCTGCTCAGAGGGCACAATTCAAGTATTTGGGTATAGATGACAAAAATATATAATATTTTTAGGAAAAATTAGTAAAATATTTTTCTTTAACTTTATATAGTAGAAGAGATTAAAGATATTTTTTTTATTAAAGTCACTCAACATTTTCACAAGAAAATTCGACTCAGAAAAATTCCGTTCGACTCAAAAAAATTTCAATTTTTTTGTGAAAATTAAAATTTCTCTGAGTCGAAACCGAAATTTTTTTGAGTCAGACAAAATTTCTTTGAATCGAATTTTTTCTATGAAAATATTAAAAGACCTTAATTATTATAAAAAAAATATTTTATATTTTTTATCTTATAAAATCTTAATAAAAAATTTTTTAAAAAAATTCCTCATATTTTTATTGGAAAATGATATGCAAAGAACCAAAGCGGACCTATGCAGTCAGTGATGATTAGTTCTCACATGTACCTATAACATGGGAACCAATCAAAATCTCCAACTCAATATACTAATTAGAGGATAAAAATATATATTTTTTTATTTGAAAAAGTAAATATAAAGTATTTTAGTATTCATTTAAACTCTAATAACAAATCTTAATAAATATAAAGTATTTTAGTATTCATTTAAACTCTAATAACAAATCTTAATATATTAGTATTCATTTAAACTCTAATAACAAATCTTAATATACTAATTAGAGGATAAAAATATTTTTTTTTATTTGAAAAAGTTAGACTCATTTTAAAAATATAGGTTCAATCTTTTTAATAATATCAACTTTATAAAAGTTAGATATACATATTAAAATTTATTTATATTTTATAACATATAACCAAAAATACAAAATAATATGATTAGTAGATAAAATTGAAAAGAAAATATAATGAGGATAAAATTGATATTTAAAATAATAAATACTGTTATGGAGGTTATCCTCCATTTTTCATCATTTCTCTATATATGGAGGATGAACCATTCATCCTTCCAAATAGAGATGCTTTTAGGCGGTGTTTGCCTTGTGCATTTGAGGAGGAATTTGAAAAGTGAAAGAGAAAGGAAAAAGATAGTTAAAATGTATATGAAGCCTCCATTTGGGAAATGGGTTTGCTTTTTGACTTTTTTGAATATTTTACCCTGGGGCTAAAAGGCCTGGTTTGGGAAGAACTTTTTGACTTTTTTAACTTTTTAGCATTTTGGTGAGATGTCTTCATGGTGAATGACCAAACTGCCCTTGAAGTGATTTTTTATATTTTTACTCCTTGCCATACATCCTTTACGTCAACGTCATTGGTGCGATTTTTTTTTTGAGGGGGGGGGGAAATTAGGGGGATTTTTTTGGTTTTTTTTTAATTTATGTTTTTGTCATCTTTTTTTTTTTGTATACTTAATTGTTCTTTTTCCTAATTTACGTTTTTGTCTTAATTTATTTTTATTGTTATACAATAATTTTTTTTATTTTTCAAAAATGGGTTTTTCATGTGTTTTATTTGTTTGTAATTACGTGGCAAATGGTAATTTCGGTTTTTTTTTTTTTTTTGGATGAGGCTATTTTTGATGTTCTTTTTTTTTTTAATTTACGTTTTTGTCATTTTTATTTTTATTTGTATATCATTAATTTGTTTTTATTTTTCAAAAATGGTTTTTCATGTGTTTTATTTATTTTTAAATTACGTGACAAATGCTAATTTCTGTTTTTATTTTATTTATTTTTGGATGAGGCATATTTTTTATGTTATTTTTTTTAATTTATGTTTTTCTCATTTTTATTTTTATTTGTATTACATTAATTTGTTTTTATTTTTCAAAAATGATTTTTCATGTGTTTTATTTATTTTAAAATTACGTGGCAACTACTAATTTCTGTTTTTAAATTTATTTATTTATTTATTTTGGTTGGATGAGGCGTATTTTTGATGTTCTTTTTTTTGTTAATTTACGTTTTTCTCATTTTTATTTTTATTTGTATATATTAATTTGTTTCATTTTATTGACTTTTTATTTTGTTTAAATTTTTTTTTTTGAAAAGGTTTTTTCTTGTTTTTTAATTTTAAATGACGTTGACAATGCTTATTTCAGTTTCATTTTAATGTGTTTTTTTTTGTTGTCGTTGTTGTTTTTTATTTGTTTTTTTTGTTGGAAAAGGCTTTATTATGTTTTTTTTTTTTCAAATGACCTGAAAAATGATAATTTCGGTTTTTTTTTGTTTTTTTGTTTTAATTTGTTTTTTTTTTTTGGATAAGGATTTTTATGTTTTTTTTAAATGACGTGAAAAATGTTAATTTTTGGATGAGGCGTATGTTCGTAGTTCTTTTTTTTCCATTTATGTTTTTGTCATTTTTTTTTATTTGTATACATCAATTTGTTTTTGTTTTTCAAAAATGGGTTTTCATGTGCTTTATTTTTTTTAAAATTACATGGCAAATGCTAATTTCTGTTTTTATTTATTTTTTATTTTTTTGGGGATGAGGCATATTTTTGTGGTTCTTTTTTTTTTAATTTAGTTTTTTGTCATTTTTATTTTTATTTGTATACACTAATTTGTTTTTATTTGTGGTTTTTCATGTGGGGATAGTTTGGTAAATTTACCTTGAAGTAGGTTGTTACCAATCCATTGCAGCGGGGTGCCTCTATTTACACACCATATATCATCTCAAGACACACCAATACTTAATTCACACCTTTAATAATTTAATAAATAATAAATTTGTTCAATACACACACAATGTTCCATTTTTATCCTTAATCACACACCCCACCACCGTCACCACCTAACCCAGCTCTGTCGCCGGCGCCGGTGTTAGCCCCTTCCCCTTGCCCTCTCTTCTTCAAGCCACCATTGCGATCTGCCCTTCAACCTCCCCCGTTTCGGATCTAAGAGTAAAATATCATCCAAAACGGGGCCATTACTATGAATATCCTGAAGCCTGATTCGAGTACTACTCCACTTTGGTAATCCAACACACTGTTAAAAAATGAAATGTAAAAAGGTATATTTTATATAGACAATAAGGCAAGAACAAGTGAATGTTGAGATGATAGGGAAAACAGACAGCTTTCTTAATACATACAGATAGAATATAACTGAGATCAAGATGCTGTGTTTTCATCAACGATACATCTCGTGGTCCTAGTAGATCTGTTCGGCCAATTATTTCATCCAGCTTCTCATAGCCCAGTTGTGCCAAGATGCCCCGTACCTGACCCAAAAACATATCGATGACCATTGGTGAAGTCACTGGCGGCGGCGGCGGAAAAAGGAGTTGCTGGTTAGGGCTTCCGATGAGAGAGAAAAAAGAGATAGAGAAGAAGATGATATTTTGGTAATTCTCTTTATGGACAAAATAGTAATTAAAAAAATGGTGTGGGATGAATAAATTGGTGGTGTGTAAATAGAGGCACCAATTGCAGTGGCTTTTGTCTCCATTTGGCTACTTTAGCCTCTTTTGTCCCGTAGTGGCTAAAATAGCCCCAATTTGCATTGCCAAACGATGCCGAAATATAACTACATTTCACATATTTTTTCCTTTCTCCTTTTCAAATTTCTTTTAAAATTCGTGAACTAATAAGTAAATCCTTCGGTAGCATTTGGTAACGTTTACGTTTTTGGTTTATGTTTACAAAAATTTTATAAACTTGTTTTTGTTTATTTTTAGAAAAACATAAATTACAAACGCGTTTGGTTTGAACAAAGTATTTGAAAAGATTTAAAAACAAAAACTAAAAAATATGTTTGTTCAGACCTAAAATATTTATATTTATTTTTATTAGTTTATGACAATTAGATCACACACATTATAATTGAAGAAAAAAATTAATTGGAAAAAAATTAATTAAAAAAATAATTGAAAAAAAATTTAATTGGGGAAAAAAAATTAATTGAAAAAAAAAGATTAATTGAAAACAATTATTTGAAAAAAAAATTAATTGAAAAAAAAATATTTGAAAAAATAATTAATTGAAAAAACAATTATTTGAAAAAAAATATTTGAAAAAATAATTAATTGAAAAAAAAAATTACCTTAAAAAAAATTGAAAATAAATTATTTAAAAAAAAAATTGAAAACTGAAAACATAAACTCATTTTTTGAGTTTACGTTTTTTCCTCAAATTTATAAATTGAGACAACCATTTAAAAACCAAAAAAATTATCAAACAAGTTTTTATGACAGTTTTTAAAATTTTTATAAATATAAACTAAAGACTAAAAACAGAATGATTACCAAACAGACCCTTCAAATATGAAGATATAGAGACTACGTTTGGTACGATAGAATGAGCTAGAATGCAATACTCATTCTAACTTTACATTTCATTTTCCTTGTTTGGTTATTTAAATAGAAATAGTCATTCCAATGAAATCGCTATTCTAACAAAATGTAAGAATATTTATTCCTTTCTCCAACTATATTAATAGCCATTCAATTCTATCATAAAATCATCATAAAACATTATTAATTGGTGCCATTTGGTAACACTTACGTTTTCAGTTTTCTGTTTATATTTACAACAATTTAAAAAATTCAAATAAAAACTTGTTTGGTAAAATTTTTTATTTATAAATCAGTGGTCTCAGTTTATAAATTGGCCAAAAACTTAAAACACAAAAAATGTGTTTCCGTTTTAAGTTTTCAGTTTTTTTTTTACTACCCAACACTAGCCACCACTCGCCACCATTTTCCACCACCGTCTTCCGCTACCACCACCCCCCACCACCACCCGCCACCACCACCCACACTATTACTACCAAAAACTTTATTACCATGGTCATCGTTGCATAGGTACTGCTATTATTTCACTATTACCACCACAACACTACTACAGCCATCACTGTCATTAAGAGTACCTCTCCACCACGATTATAACTACCCTTCATCTTTTTGTGGTGTAAAGATCTTGTCATAAGCACCACGTCATTCCACCATCACGATTACAATAAAAATTTGGAAGTTAAAAATTAAAAATTAAAAATAATAAATTTGATCTTATATATATCAAAAAATTTGTTTTAGTTCAGTGCTTAATTTTAATCAAACAACATTCAACTTGAAAAATTCAGCATTCAATTTTCAGTACTTAATTTTTAATTTCTAGTTTTTAGTTTTATCAAATACCACTACTTGAGACTTTTTGTTTCAAACTTTTTGGCTTTGTTTGTTTAAATTTTCAAAAATTATTATAGATGGGTTTTTATTTGTCTTTACTGAATTTTTAAAAATATTTTAGTTAATTTTTTTTACTTTGTAGATACAACAAAATTAAATGTATCAAAAAAGGTTCAAATTTTTTTTAACTAAATATAAAAAAAATTCATTAAAAGTAAATGAAAATCCTAACAAAAATGTATTTAGGGTTTAGGGTTTAATATTTTAGTAAATTTATTTTACTTTTTAGATATATCTAAATTAAATACAATTAAAATGTATAAAAAAAAATTAATTAAACATAAACAATAATTCATTTAAAATTAAATTTTGAAAATCAAACTATACGGAACCTTTCATTTTGATGACATGATAATTTTGGAATAAAGTGTTGGCGTACACGGATATTTTGATTACATTACCGAGTCGCGCATTTAAAGCACATGTGTGAAAGTTTACATACATCACACCTAAAATAATTGGATGACATAAGCTTATCTTAATAAGGATGACATCATTAGGAATGACGACGACAAGTGCGAGACGAGC